TATGCAATAATCAGAAAATATGTGACTAATGATGTTCCGCTGCTTGCTTTCGTCTAGATTCAGCCCATTTAGCAACATTTTCAGGGCTATATGCTACAAATTAAAAACAGCTATAGACAAATGATTAAAAATACAAATAATTTTTTTTGTTAGTACTTACAAAGTTTTTGGATCTTATAAAAAACTGGAATCGACACTGCAACAGCAATAAAATAATATTTCCACAGTGCGTTATTGTTTAGGTAAAATTTGAAGGGGAACTGAGCAATTTTTGCGGAAAGGGTGTAAGGATATTTCATCGGGCGTTCACCAACCATTTCTGAAAAATATTAATTTGTTGAAGTATTCAAAACATATTTTTATTCACATAATTTATAAAATAACTCACTTATTCCGTTACGTAATGAAGTTTTCAAGATGACAAGTTCCTAGACAATAATGGAGAATTCGACATGCAAGGCAGCTTTCATAAAAATTGATTAAATCATGGTAGCCAACATAATCTGATGATTGTCAAAATGACAGCTGATGACAGCTACCGCTTTTAAGTTTTTGTTTTTACCGTTTTAATCGTAGACATGTGCTGACAATGTAACAATTTTAAAGTTTTATTTTTAAATTTAGTTTTAATTATAAAGTTAAGTTGTCAAAAGTCAAGACTAAGTATCAGTTATAACCGAGTATTATTTCGTTATAAGTGAAATTGTTGTTTATTCATATATTTGCAAATATGATGTATAAAATGGTAATTGAAACTATTTAATTACATTTTCAAAAAACGATAACTATATTGAAGCTTTGGAGAGTGTAAGAACACAATTTGTTACTGTTTTCTTCTATTAATACAGAGAACGATTTAAACGGTAAGTCATAAATAAATAAGAGTGCAGTAAGCACTCCTAGGTTTTAGTCAGCATTAGACGGTGTTTTAGAGATATGATTAGGTAAATACGGTAATTTAAAACTACTATTGATACATTTTTGTGTTATGGTTATGTTCTAAGATCATAGCAATCATTTATTTGCTATTAGACAGGATAAGTACCTATGATGAATTTGTGCGTAACTGGTAACAAATTTAGAAATCTTATCCAAAATAGTGATAAGATCACGAATTTGATATTTCAAACATTAATCGTTATCTTTCATAGTGACCAGCTTCTTTTTGCTACATTTATAGTATAGCATCACCTATATCACACCAGATTAGTTTTAGATACATTGAATTTTAAGTATAATATTAAACTTTGCAGTTTTTTCTATATTATTACCAAAGTTATGAATTATATCCATAAAATATGGAAGCATCTATGATATGCTTTTGCTAATATAAATGAAAATTACAAAGCTTATAACATGCTCATTTATAATTAAATAAATGAATTTATGTAAAACAATTTTGCAAAATAAATTATCTCATTTGCTGAATTTATTGAAGTTGGGCATATCATTACAACTACAAACATTAGGCAATTGTAGAATGATACAGTTATCAAAACTATAGCAATTTTTATTTAAAAATATATAAATTTAATATATAAAATTATTTTTAAAAAATGGCATCCTTAACTCAAAAAATTCCATATTTTGGCAGTGGTTACTGAGTATTAAATAAAATTTAGTTCAAGATTCAAGCTCACTTATAATCTAATATCCAACAATTTAAATTTTAATATTTGGTTTTTCATAATTTTTTAATAACATATCCAGTATTTACCAAACTAAATTTAAATTCAAATGCACTAATTACTCATTAGAATTCTAAAATTCATCGTGCCTGGCTAAAGCTTCTCCGAAGTCTGTTGCTTGTGAACCCACAAATAAGTCATATTTATTTAATATTTCATCTTTGGTCAATTTTTCATCTGTATCACCATCAGCTTCATAAATTAAATGCCTTGCCTCAGCTTCTGCATGGTCGAAGTCTGGAGGAATTATCCAATTTTTGACTTCTTCTAAATCCATAAAACCATCCTTATCTTTATCTCTGAAATAAATATTTAAAAAATGTGAAAAAAGTTTTGTTTGGAATTTCCAGAGTATTAAAACCAGACTTGTAATTTAAATTATTACTTTTATCAAATCTATTTTCATTCAATAATAAATTCAAATGCAATTTTGAAGTATTTTCTTATCAATTCAATTTCTTTTATTTTTTGAAGTAGTTAATTTTAACATATTATTAAATAATATCTATAATGACAGAAAATATAAACATAGTTGCGTTTTCACAAAAATGACCCTACAAAAATACGACTGAGCACATCAGCATTTGTGCTTGCTTTACGAATCTTATAAATAATTTCATAATTGTATTCTTCTAATTTTATCCTCCATCTCATTAAATGAAACCTGAGATATTTTCAATTAAATAGTCCAACTATTGCTTATGGTCAGTGATTGCAAAATTCAACTCTATTTAAAACTAGGATGCAAAATGTCATAAAAAAAATTGTAATAACCTGTATAAGCTGAACTGTTCTCTTTCATTTTTTACCCATTCTGGTTCATCTTCCTCCTTACCTTCTTCTTCATCTGAATCCATATCTCCTCTAAACATATCACCTATATATTCTTTCAATGAAATTTTTCCATCCTATTAAAAAATATAATTATTAATTAATTGATTTGTTTTTAATAAAATGACATGTTTTCTTAAAACTGACTATTATGAACAGATCGCGAACCAACAATGTCAAACAAATATAAAATATTCAGTAAATAAATTATTATATTATTAAATAATTTTATATATTATAATTTTTATTTGTTTTATTACTTGGTGTATAATCATTATTTAAAACTATAATAAAATGTTTCAACTTTTATGTTGTGTTGCAATCGTTATGAATTAATTTTAAAATTAAATGTTATTCTTCTAAACACTATAAGCAATACCTTATCCTTATCAATGTCTTCCATTGTCTCTAAAACAACTACATCTCTCATTCGTTCACTTTCTTCCGGATGTAAAAAATCAGTAAATTGTGCTTTGTCGAGAACCCCATCATCATCTAAATCAGCATTGGCCCATCTTCGTTGATCTCGCTTAATCATAGCTTTGTAGGAGTAGCCTGATTCTTCTTGTTCTAATTCTTGTTCTGTCATTTCATCCAGGAATCCATAAGTTTCTTTCTTATATTCCTATAATAAGTATTAGTAAGAATAATTGATAATGTTAAAGAATTGAGAGATTTGCCACTGCAGAATAAGTTTTTAATAAGAACTAATGATAGGAATTATAGATATTCAGAAATTGTATATTTCTGTTCATTATTATCTATTTGAACCTTTGAAATCTATCAAAATAATTAATGTGGAAATGAGTTAGCATTGATGCAAAAAAGTTTTTTGATTAATATAAAAAGATATTATTAATAAGTTTTCAGAGTTAGAAAATACAATGAGCCATCAAACACTGAATTCGCTTTATTGTGTTCTGCAGATGCAGGAGTTTCATTTTACTAAACATCAAAAAGCACATAAATCTCTGGATAACAAATATGAGATATGAATATGAAAACTTCATGTTTTCAATAGTAAAAATTAAGTGTAAAGAGCTTTACTTTTGATTATATATTCATTATCATATTGAAGCATGTAAACTCGCTTCCACAAAAGTATTGTAAGTAAAGTATAAACAACAAACCTCCCAAGTTAAGCTGGGTTTGTTTTCGAGATTGTGTTGTTTCCATTGACGCTCAACATCATCAGCAATATAACGTCTTTGAGTATATCGTATCCAGTCTTTTAGTTCCACTAATGTTATAAAACCATCTTTATCTTGATCAATTTTGTCCACGATCAATCTAAAGAGAAACAGTAAGAATAACTTAAACATCACCCATAAGACCTTCAATTTTTTCAAAATATCAAGAAAATATTAAAATCAGTTTTAGCAGCAGAAAACTAGCGAATTGAAATCTTATAATGTGACTTACCCCAGTCTCCTCCTGCTTTCTTCTGGAGGCAGTTGATCAAACGTTTTAGCTTCATCTTCTCCTAGAAATGCATCATGATCGAATTTTGCATCATGTTCTTCGCCTTCCCCATGTGAAGCTTTTGAAAGCGGATTTACAAGCCTTGGGGCATGATGTGCTGTTTCTTCGGGTTTGTGAATGCCAAAAGCACTCGCCGAAAGCGCCAAGATTTGTAAAGCGATCAAGTAGTGGACATATGATATTGACATTTTGTGCTGAAAGATCAATTTATATAAATCATTTCAGTAAATAAGATCAAATTTCGCTCAAAATTATTAGGTATTTGTTAACTTTTTCTCTAAGAGTAATTGCCTCAAAAAATTAGCTGTAAAAAATAAACAATAATAAATAAAATTAAAACAAAAATAATCAAGTGATTTTACACAAGAATTTAAGCTAATAAAATTTGAATCCAAGCTTTGTTAAATTTCACTATTTGACATAACCCCTTACTCACTAAGATGACAGTATATTATAACATTTGTAAACTCAATGATATTTTGATTATTGTTATGTTTTTGTTTGTTCAAAGTGCCTAAATTGTGCGAAGAAAATTGAAATATTATTATTTGGAGATATTGTTTATAGAGATCAGAAATTGAAAGGTGTTGTAGATAGTTTAATTGACGTTTTGAGTGAATTGGCATGGTGATAAAAATTAAATTACATTTAAAAATATTACCAAGAAGTGTTTCTCCTAATATATGTTATCAAATTAAGTATATATTATTTAATTTAAGAAACCTTCCACGTCACACATTGATTGTCAACTTTATCACTTATTGCGTCCGTTCTTTAATGTTAACAAGACATACATCCTAAACTTAACTACGTGTCCTGTTGTTCTAGATCAACTAATTTATCATCACACTTTAGTGTTGAACGCTTTTTAATAAATAAATATTCTTCAGATTCCAAATGGGGTGTGAAACATTGAAATTAAAATAAAATTCAAAACTAGTGGGGCGCATGGCCTCGTGCCTTAAGGCAAATTGCAGGAACTTCCCATACCAAAAATTATTTTTTTTATAAAAGATTAACATTTTTCAAAAAAATTTACTTTGAAAAAATTAGGTTTTTGGGAAATTATAAATTTTTGGCAAAAATTTACTTTTTTTTGGAAAAAAAGACTTTTCGAAAAAAAATGTTTTCTTTATTTTGAAATATTTTGAAAATTCTGAACTTTTTTCAGAGCAAACGTACTACTTTAAATGCACAGAGACGAAATAAGGAAGCGCGTAAGCGCCACGTCGCCGTCTAACGGATAAACATTGGTACGTAACCCATAGGAATGTAAACAAAATTTATACTTATTGTTAAAGTCTCTCGAATACCGAATATTCGGCATCCTCTAAAGACCGAATACCGAATATTCGGCATTCTCTAAAGACCGAATACTGAATACCGAATATTTGGCAACTATTCGGCAGGTTATTGGCGCCTAAGCTCGTTTGTATTAATGTAATTACTATCAGTAATTGTTATATTACGCGATACATATTCATTCAAGTTTTATGCCTAGACTTGCATCCACTATTCTGCTACACGTTATTTGAAATATTTCGCACCATTTATTCTATTCGATTGAATGCTGAATACTTGAATACCACATGTGATGGGATGGGGAAATAAATAGTAAAATTATGAAAAAAGCGATTCTTTACATATATTTCAATGTATTTCCAATTATTTCTTTCATAAACATTTAATATTTTCTTTTATAAACTCAATATTATTTCTTATATATTGCGAATGCTAATCATAACAAAATAAATAAATATTTTGCGATAAAGAGCCAATAATAGCTCTTTATTTGGAAACGCTTAGATTTTATATAATGAATGACTTTATTGTATTGATACAACACATGCGTGTAACCAATGAATGATTCATATCAAATAATATAAACCTGTAACAATAAAGTATCTTGTGAATATTCAGAAAAAAGTTCTTCACGTTATCATCTATAATATCAAAAATCGACAAAGTTTAAATTATTATATATGCAATAACGAATTCGGTTATATCATTTTATATTAAACTAGATAGATCTGTATTTAATCTATCTCATTCATAAAAGATAAAACACTAACGATGCTGTCGCTGAGCGGCGGCGGCGCCTTTGATTTTAACTATTCGGTATTCGGCCGAATAATAAAAAAGGTGCCGAATATGCCGAATACCGCATAGTAACCAAATATTCGGTGCAAATAAATCAAATTTTATTTGTTTTAAAGCAATAATGCACTATATACAATAGTGTTATAATGTTTCATAAAACATCGTTCAGTTTACTGCAATACATCACTCAGTCGATAAAACCAATATATAAGCCAATAAGTTATTGACTCCAAACGGGAAATTATAAGGTAAGCTCATAAAGATAAAATGTTATTTTATAAGTCGCCATATGAATTTGTTAAAATAAATAATAACGTTTTTTTGTAGCATTTCATAATTATATTTTCTGTTTGTGAGTAGATTTCATCAACTTTTGACAGTAAAACTAACGTATACTTTATAATTCACTATACACATATTTTTAATTAATTAGTATACCGAAATTTTATAATCAAAATCAGATTATACTAATTTTTAATGCTTTAGATACGCTCCTCTTTTAAACTTATACATCATAAAAGTTCAAGAGATAAATAGGTTGGCAAGCTCTGTATCAATGCTCTCAGCCTCTCAGCCAATGAGATAACGCCGCGTATTTTAATCTAATTGCGGAGAGAAATATGAACTCATCCTAAAGCACGATGAAAAAATCATAATCATCATTTTTTAGATATCCTGAAAATATCATATTTATTATTTAACGCGGAATGAAAACTCATAAATAATTACTACATGCACCCACAGCCGTTAAGTAATCTTTACTTTACTCTAATAATTTAATAAGTATGTAGCGGGTTGCCAACACGCATAGCGGCTTGTCAACACGCATCACATGTCTCTGGACAGATTGGCCCATATAGTGACAGCACTGAGAAAAACAAAAGAAAATTCAAGTGTCAGATCGTACTTGGTTTTTGTTTCTCCCTTGTCGATTTTACTAAAAATGTATCATTCTTGAAACCTTTCTTTTCGATTATAAATAAGAAAATACCAATCACATTTTATTAACGATAAATATGACAACACATAGTGTCGTGGATATTAATCATACATAAAATAAACCAAATATAAATAATATTTTATGGAATTTATTATTACTACAATTTGGATAATATTGGTATTAATATGGAGGACTACTACACCTCCATATTTTGGTGACCCCGAGAGTGAACTAGCAACACACATACAAGAAGGTAAGAAGATCAAGACATATTTTGAAGTAGCACAAGAAAAAAAAATAAATTGAAGTCTCAAGAATTATTAAGAAAAGAATTTTTAAAAATATAAATAATTATTATAAATGGCTCACAACTTCCATAATTCGAAGAGCATTCTAAGCATACAACTGAGACTCCGACCACGCACTTCAAGATCAACAACAACACGTGCTCAATAAATCACTTATTATCCTGGTAAATAAGTCGATTATAAGCACCATGGCAACAGACAGGGAACATCAAACCAATTTGGCAACCGCCATATATAATCAACCGCTAACTCACCAGCGAAGGGCCACATACAATCAACCGCTAACTCACCAGCGAAGGGCCACATACATTCAACCGCTAACTCACCAGCGAAGGGCCACATACATTCAACCGCTAACTCACCAGCGAAGGGCCACATACACTCAACCGCTAACTCACCAGCGAAGTGTCAAATATACTCAGCCGCTAACTCACCAGCGAAGGGCCACATCTACTCAACCGCTAACTCACCAGCGAAGGGCCACGTAAGCAATCAACAAACTCAACAAGCCAACACGGCAATTTATCACACAATCTCAACCAAAAGAAATTTACAAGGAAGTTCAAGAATGGCAGTCAGAGATGCGAAACAATCTTTTTCATTAGGGCGGAGTGATGTAGCGGGTTGCCAACACGCATAGCGGCTTGTCAACACGCATCACATGTCTCTGGACAGATTGGCCCATATAGTGACAGCACTGAGAAAAACAAAAGAAAATTCAAGTGTCAGATCGTACTTGGTTTTTGTTTCTCCCTTGTCGATTTTACTAAAAATGTATCATTCTTGAAACCTTTCTTTTCGATTATAAATAAGAAAATACCAATCACATTTTATTAACGATAAATATGACAACACATAGTGTCGTGGATATTAATCATACATAAAATAAACCAAATATAAATAATATTTTATGGAATTTATTATGACTACAATTTGGATAATTCCGGTATTTCTACAATATGGAGCACGCCTCCATAAGTATGTCTATCGAAACAAGAAAAATAGAGTATGGCATACGGAAAACTATACACGGCACTGACTTTCATTTTGTGTTTTTTTTTATTATTATTTTATTTATGTCCTTGATGCAAAACGACTGATGCAAATTAATGAATCTTCACGACAATGTATGATTATAATATTTTAGAAATAATAGATAATGCAATAGAGCTTTTGCTTAATTTCAACAAGCTTACCGTTGTAAAAGTGATTTTTTATTCATTGTAAAAATGATATCAAGTTAAAACTATGGATTACTATCCACGGAAAATTTTAAAATACATTTTACTCAATTTGAAAATGAGTTAAACCCGTGGATTACATCCACGGATTTTTTCCTAAATATATTTTACTCAATTTGAAAATGATATCAAGTTAAAACAATGGATTACTATCCACAGATTTTTTTAAAATCCATTTTACTCGAAAATGATAACAAGTTAAAAGCATGGATTACTATCGACGGATTTTTTAAATGCATTTAAACTTACACTCTTATTTTAAATGTAATTAATTTATGATAATTAATTTAGGATAAATTTTTATTCTTATTACAGAGGCTTATGACTTATAAGAATGCCTTAAAGGAACCTTAAATCCATAGATAAGCAAGCATAAATGCTTACATCCTGGGACTCCCACATGTGAGTGGGAATTTATGATCGACAACAAATTGGAAAAAGTCTTTTTGAAGAAAAGGATGAAATTATCTTGTTTGATGAGCGTTCAGGGCATCTACCACTGCAGAAGAACAAAATCTGGTTGCAACATTGAAAATTTATAAAAAAAAATGTTTCATAATGTTTGGACCGATTCCAAAAGATTTTGGGGCGCTGATTTCAAAAATGCTATCCGTTTTTGGATAAATCCACATACACCCCGCGAAAATCGAAATATTTGGTTGCAAAATTGATTTTTTTTTTAAAAGTCTAGTTTTTTTCGCGATTTTTAAAATGTTTTGATTGGTTTTTATAGATTTTGAGTCGCTAAATTCGAAAATATTATCCGTTTTTAGATAAATCCACAATGAATCCACACACCTTTGCGAAAAATCGAAATCCTTGGTTGCAAATTCAAAATTTTACTAATGAAATGAACATTTTTTTTCGCAATTTTCAAAATGTTTTGGCCGATTTGGATAGTTTTCAAGGCGCTGATTTCGAATATGAAATCAGTTTTTGGAAAAAAAAATTCTCCCACCCCTACGACCAACTTGAAGTTTGAAAAATTGCCAACTTTGAAGCTGATTTTAACTATGAAGACGATGATAAATTTGTAATTTTTTTGCTTTGGTATAAAGATTGTACTTTAGTCTACACAATGCATTCATTAAAATTATCAATTTCATTCATTAAGGGCCTTAAAATTGCATTTGAAAGTCACGATTTTGGCCAATTTTGGCAGCCCCTGATTTTTCGGATTTGTATGGGAAAGATAGTAAAATTTGTAAAAAATTTAAATTACACCAAAGTAGGTTTGGTTTACCGCTAACCAGGCGT